AGTATGAGCAAAGTACTTGCTTGTTGAGAATATAAGGTATATGAGATCTTGAAATCACCTGTAGTAAATCTGGCAAATTGAACTGCTCCTATGTTTATGTATTTTAAACAAACAAAACTAATACACACATGAATGCTGGCAGTTGCTGAAGTCTTGTGTACTTAAAAGGCAATATTCCTCAAGTCTCAAAAGCAGAGAAAATTTGATATCTGATAAGTACCAGAATGTAAAACAATTAGAAAAAAACAACACAACAAACCCAACACCCAAACAAAACCAAAACCACACAAACCACAAACAAAAAACCAAACAAAATTTGGAACTTTAGCTTTTCTTTCTTTTTGGACAGAGTCTTGGGTGACATGGTCTAGAGTTTGGTGTCCCTGCCCATGGCAGGGGTTGGAACTTAATGGTCTTAAGATCTAGAAGACCTTAAGGTCCTTTCCAAACCTAACTGTTCTATGATTCTATGATTCATCATCTTTATCTATCTTCTACATGTTACCAGGCAGAACTCAATTTATTTTTTCACTGATCTTACTCAAAAAGCTAGAGCTTATGCTGTTTACATACACTCTCATCAATTGTTATAACCTCTTACTTGGTGGAGTGGTGCCTATGTAAATGTACAGATTCAAGGAAATGCCATGTATCCCTTGCCGTTACTAAGGAAGTGTATGTTTCTTGTTACTCTCAGGTTTGGCAGCCTCTGGATTTTTAACAAGAAGCAGACACTGTAATGTCTGATGTTTTATACTGAGTCAGAAAAAAATAGGAGGACCTTCTTCATGTTTAGGAGGACCTTCTTCGTTTAGGAGGACCTTTGTATTATCCTTTCTTCTCTTGCAAGAACAAGTACAGGTGTGAGGGATCCTTAATTTATTCTGCAAGGTTTCATACAAAAAGGTGGGTATCCCATGACGCTTGATTTTGAGAACAGAGTGAAATTCAGTTTCAAGCAGCATACTGCATTCCTACTCATTAGTACTGCTACACCTATCTTCAACCTACATCTATCACGGTTATGATCTTGCTTGAGTTTCTTCCAGTAATGCATTGAGAAACAAGACTACATACCATTAAATATAATAGAAATGTTGAGGTCAATGCCGTGCACATGATGCATGGCAAGTAGTGAGCATTATGGCAGTCCTCCCTGGCTCTCAGGTAAGCTTGGCAAGTAGTAAGCATTATGGCATTCCTCCCTGGCTCTCAGGTAAGCTTGTTATTATAGGTTAGCTTATTGAAAAGTCTATCAATTTGCTAGAACAGCATTGCTGATGACTAAAGCCTTTTTCCAAAGCTTTCATCAAGCTTTCATGCATCCTGAATTCAGACAAGGGAGTCTGCTGAAGATAAGGACTGTGGCTGGATTTGAAATTGTATGGGAAGGCAGCATAGATAACAAAGGACATGTATGATACACTTGCAATGGACTGCTAAGAATGTGCTCTGCAGAATTTTTCATTGACTGCCATTTTCCATACAGTGAAAACTTCATGTCCAGATATACCCTGTTTCTTCCAGTCAAGCAATGAAAAGGTCATGTCATTGTTTGGAAAGATATTTAGCAACCTTTTATCTTTATATCCAATAGGAAACAATAGGAAGAGTTCTCTGTAGCCAGTAGTTGCTGTCTAATACTTACATATTATAGCCAATACTGACAAATGGAGATAGCTTTTCTGCAGAAAGGAAAACATCACAAGGGCCGCAACCTACAAACTGTTATATTAAAATGGCAGTAAGCTAAAGTACATTAGTAACTGTTGAAACACTTCTGCTGGTTTTGCTAGTACTAACTGCATCTTCTGCTATTTTGTTATGCTTGCAATGATGATGATGATGGTGAGAGAGGAAAAGGTATATTCCAGCAGTTTTTACAGTTTTTCCCCTAAAGACCCTTCTTGCATCCTACTTGGGATGTGAGCACTGAGAATAAGCAGTAAGAACAGTGAAGTACCTGCTTCTAGGAGATGGAGACTCTACTGTTTTCCACAACCTTATGTGGCAATGCCAGCATACATTAAGGCAGCTTTTATCATGGGATTCTTACTTGGAAAGCATTTTGTCTTGGAGCAAACAAAATAATCAGTCTTGGCAATTCTTTCGACAATCTGTGCTGAGGACATTTGCCAATTATCTAATCATTCATACACAATTGCTTTCGTAACACTAAGTCAGATAAAGAAACCACTGGATTGCTGAACGCACATTTATTGCCTATAAAGCCTGTCCCTGCACGAAAATTCTTCCCGATTGCACAATGCTTAGGACACTGCTGTCTGTCCTGCTACACTGAACTGCATCACTGATATTGTAATTCTGAAGATTATTTACTTAGCAATGTGTGAAAAATCATATTGTGCATGATGTCCAAGATTTAGCACTTTAATGCTGTCTGTTTGCTGAACCAAATCTTAAAGAGACCAGCAGAAGGCAGTTAAATGAACATGTTTAAAAATCTTGTAAGCAAGCATCAAACTCAACAGGTATCTCAACAGTGACATAAACATGATTCACCATGTCAGGATACCCTCAAGCATTTGATGCTTTGAAATACTTACTGCAGTGTTCTCTAATGGATACAAGTACAAGAATATACAAATAGAAGTTGACTCTGGGTTTTTGATTGCTTATTGTCACTGAAGATGCAACCCATCTGTTCTTTTCAGGTGGCCTTTCCAAATATTCAGCACATTTTGAGGCATCCAGATTTAATGCAATCACACTAGTGGTTCTGCCAAAGGAAATGTTCACTCACAGCTGTCAAGAAGGGAAGTAGGAGAAACTTCCATCTTTACTGAAGTATGTACTGTTAAGTATTAGCATCTAAAATGCCACATTATTGAAGAAGTAAGATTAAAAAAAGACATACTGGTTTCCCCAGTTGCCCTCTGCAGACTTGCCAGACTTTATGAATTAAGATCACCAAGGTAACCCTTGCTGGATCTGACAATAATGATACGATCACATATGATTCACAAAAAGACCAGGAATGTATCTTGAGACTGGTGGCTAAAGACTGCTACTGAGTGGAGTAACTCTTTGAACCAGGGAACTTTTGTCTGATTACCCATACAAAATAGTACTCTGCTTGCTGTACCCAGTAGCAATACAAAAGCAGAAAAGCCTAAGAATTTGTGGAAATCTCTATTAACAAGCATTTACAAAGCATCTGTGACTTGTGATCTAATAAATCAACTTCTTGTTGCTTTTGCCAGGATAAATTGTACAAACGTGCCTACAACTTGCCATCAGTAACGACACTGCATATACTCATGCAAACATGTACGTGTGACAGGCACTTCCAAATCAAAATTCTCATTTTAGTTGGGATTTTGGTTTCCAAAATTCCATATGGTACCATGCTTTGTTGATATCCTTACTTCAGGATCAAGGAAACTTCTGACTAGCTTAAAAAAGTTTGGAGCATTCACATGAGAGTAGATCAGATAAACTTAACTCATAATGTCCTGGAATCAAAATCCAAATATTCAGCTTATACATTTTTTGATTCCTCATTTATCAGCTTTCTACTTCAATTTAAAAAAAAATGCTGAAATTCTCCCCAATTCTCTGACACTGAAGTTCCATGGACATCAATGCAAAAATAGGCAGAAGCATTCAGAAATAGGAGGAAGTTGCTAAGACATGATTCTATCCTTTCTAATATGACAACCAAGACTTCTGGTGATTATTTGTGACATTCTGATGTGTGACTTTGGGGCTGTTGTTAGTCTCAACCAACTTAGATGGGCCTGAAGCACTGAAAGCCTACTATCCAGTAACACTGATGCTAACTGAACAAAAATATACAGAAGCAGACACAGAAACATTCATCAATGGAATAAAAACAAGTAACTAAAAAAATACCAACATACCCAACCCTGTAATTATGGCTATAGTAGCTTGTTTGTGGTTTGTGTGAAGTGAAATGCAGTGCTAAAGAGTATCTCTCACTCTCCAAAGACTAGTTAACTCTTCCATTTGTACTGTCCCCTATGATATCAAATATTACACCAAATACTGATTTCCAAGCCAAGAAAATAAATGATGAATGTGCTGTGCTGGCTGCGAGGGCATATTCTGACAGACTCAAGTCTTGAAAAGGCCTCTCTAAGTTCTAACAGCAATGTAGGGTCATACAGGTGTGCAGGATGCCTGATTAAGAAAATCTTCTGATGAGCTTAAACCATTTTAACCCATGAACTCATAATGAAATGCCTTTATGGCAGATCATCCTTAAAGAGGTTAGCTGATTACTTCAGCTACATTAAAAGCAGCACATCAAAATATCATGCAAATTAAAACCACTAGCCAAAAGTTCCATCTAGCTACTCAGTACTGCAAACACAGAAAATTATAAACAACCAAATTACTTCTACAAATAGAGTTGCTGTATTTTTCCATATTTCTCTGGAAGATTATCCAAGCTCTGTGATTCAAGATCTCTATAGATTTCATACTACTTACATGCTCCAGAAGGCAGGGGGAGACACACCCCCAACTTCCTGCTAGTGTTGTCTTACTTGAAATGACTTATGAATTTATTGCCACTGCAAACATCTGCTGTAACATTCTGCATCCTTCAGTAATTGTGACTCAGAGGGTGGTGTATTTGGTAACTACAGTGCTTTCACCTCTTGGACTCAGAATTTGACTAAAACCAGCTGCATGTGAGCCTCGAACAGTACACCATGGTAAACTGTAGTCAAACAATGTGGAAGCATTACAATGGTCTTCTCAATAAAACTGAGTTTTCCTTAAAAACAGACTAGAACAGTTAACAATTTAAATGATGAGGCTTCGGGGGGGGGGGGGGGGACGGACACCAAAAAAAAAAAAAAGCAAACAACGGGAGAAGACTACAAACACAACTCCCCTCCTATAGCAACCTCACAGCCCAGCCTTCTAACGTGTGGCACTTTTTCCCCTCAGCAAACCTCCACAGCCTCAGGCACTCTGTGCACATTCCCTTGCGCGTTCTCAGGACTCACCTCTGAGAAGGCATACCTTCTCCTGACCTTTCTCCACAGTACCATGCTGCAGCCCCCTCCTCACATCACTTTCCTCTCACGCCACCTACAGCCCTTCTTCCCTCCCTCCCTCCCCGTTTCTCGACCCCTTCCTTCCCGCGCATGCACAGGCGCCCTCAGGAAAGGGCCGCCCTCTCCGTGGAGCTGTGCCTCACCCCGGAGGAGCTCTCCACGGGAAGAGAGGTAGTTGTTCCCTGTACGGCTCACTTGTCTTCTTTTAAAGCAAAACGCTACACAGTACGCACTAAATTCGAGGCAAGTGGGTAAAATGTGTACTGTCCTTTGTATACTATTTGAAGAAATTAGTGGGGAGCAGCCTCATATGGCTCGTCAGGTATTGAACTCTATGTCACTTTGTGCAAATACCAGAGCTTAGATGGCGAGCTTCGTGGGGGAATGAGTAGAATTTTTGTTAGTTTTAAAATCTATCTCATGTTCCTATACATGAGGAGTATTTATATTTTTATTGAAAGATAGGGAACTGCCTGATAAGAATTTCCTTTACCAGTCACCGGAGGAAGTTCCTGACTGCCGAAAGGCAAACGGAGCTCTCCCCTGTCAACAGGGCTAAGGAAGCCACCACGCTCTGAAACTTCCTGCAACCATAGCCCTCTGATGTATTCCTCAGATGCCTTTTGGAGTCAGGGGTCACTTTGTGGTCTGAAATGTCTGTGGTCAGTCTGTCAGAGCCCCCTGAAGCCATCACTTGGAGGAGGAGCTTGCTGTAAGTAGTTCAAGGAGTTTGTGGTAGGATTTGGGTGTACCCCAGCTGGCTGGTTGTCATGTGTAGCAAAGTGGGAATGGTGTATTCCTGAATGTTTTTTATCCTAAGGTATAATGTCTGTCGCTGATGCTGGCCTGTGAACCCAATGGAGTTTGTTTCTGGCCTGAGTTTCGTTTCTGTCTCAGGGTTATGTATGTGGCCACAGCCTGCAGCAATTCCATTTGTTCTCCTCTATGAACCTGATTTTTTTAACACCAAATTTTACTGTGGTTTTAAAATCTATTGTGAATAATGAGAATATTGAGATGTCTCAAAAAAAGAAAAAAAAGGTAAACATTGCATACCTGCTGGTAGAAAACAAATCATACCCATGTCAAAGATTATATCATCTTTACAACTGCCCATTTTTGAAGGAAATACCATCCTTGCATGTGAGTGAAAACCTCCCCCAGCCCTGTTTCCCTAGTTTAATTTGAACCTAAATTTTCTTTATTTGTAGCATACACTTTTGAGATGCTCTGTTGAAGTGCTTCACAATAATAGAAAAAAATAATAAAACACAAAGGTAATTTATGTAGATACAGTGTATTGAACTAAATTCAGGCATGGGATTGATGTAGTCTGATTTGATTACTCAACATCTAGTCTTCATTTTCCTTAAATTCTGTAATATATTCAAAAGTATATATGCTCTGCTTTAAAGTCCAGTTACCAGTGAGGTGTCAAAGAGCATAATCTTTTGGATGTAATTTAGATCTAGCATGCTAAGAAGATATATTCTAAACCAAGAGCAGGAAATAAAAAAGATTTCTTTTTATGTTTTGCATTTTGTAGATCAGTAATAATTTTGTGGTGCTCGGAGGGTGGATGTTGTTTGGTTTTTAATTTTTGTTGGCTGTAAGTATTACTGTTTTAAATCTTAAAGGGTAATACGCACTTTGCTATCTCTGGAATCCAAGATTCTGCGTAGGTTAATAATCTCCAGCATCACTTTTATATCAAAGAATCCAATAAAATTTGAAGTGTTTACTCTTAGCTGAGTTTCCAGGGCTTTAACTATTCAATCAATAGAGTATGTTTACATATTTCTGGCAATCAGTGAGTTGGTATTTACTATTTGCATTCAGTGATGACGTTGTTAATAACAGATTGTGATATCTCTGCAAGTTCCATACAGGTTTTTTTACACTCTTGGTCTAACAGCCAAATTTATCTCATCTTGTACCTATGATATCTAAAGAAATTTTCAGGATATTTGTATAGATTTTGTTCAAAGAACCAGATGGAATCCTCTGAAGCAGAGCAAATGTGGAGAAATGGCTGCTTGACATCTTTTGGCAGTATTTCTTCGGGGCAGTTGCTGAACTTACAGGATAGTTTTCAGAGTAAAGTGTTGCCTACTTAAAATGAGAATTTGTGATGGGTTGACCCTGGCTGGATGCTGGGTGCCCACCAAAGCCAGTCTGTCTCTCCCCCTCCTCAACTGGACAGGGGAGAAAAAATACAGTGCAAGGCTCATGGGCTGAGATAAGGACAGGGAGATCACTCAGCAGTTACTGTCATGGGCAAAATCAAATCCAAGCAGGATAATGAAAAAATAAACCCAAATCTTAAAACACCTTCCCCCCACCCCTCCCTTCTTCCCAGGCACAACTTCACTCCTGATTTTCTCTACCCTGTCCTTGGCCAGCAGTGGGTCCATCTTGGAGCTGGCTGTCATTGGCTCTATTTGACACAGGGGAAGCTTCTAGCAGCTTCTCACAGAAGCCACCTCTGTAGCCCCACTACTGCCAAAACCTTGCCACATAAATACAATACAGAATTAGTTAAAAGGAAATGTGGTTTTGGTACTTTTAATAGGTCTTGCTAGTTAATATAGGCTCTTTGGATCTAAGCAAGTCCTCTACTTCCATTTAAGAATAAGTGGGGAAAAAAGGAATGCTATTGCATTACTGTATATCATTAATTATCAGGCATTATGTAGTAATTGATGTGAGATTTGTAAAGATGGAAACTTTGTTTACTTCTGCGGCACAACAGAAATTTTATATTCTGAGCCCATTCTCTGTAAGTGGGACTGAAAGAAAACAAACAAGCCCCCCCCCCCAATCTAACACTTTATTTTTGCTGTGAGAATGATCTTTTATTTTCTTTATAAAGTGCTGCCTAAACTGAATAGTCTTAATCAGTGTGTCAGATTTTTTTCTGAATTTCACTTCAGCATATCACAGTATCACACAGTATCACAGTAGGTTAGAGATTGGAAGGGACCTCAAAAGATCATCTAGTCCAATCCCCCTGCCGGAGCAGGAACACCTAGATAAGGTTACACAGGAACGTGTCCAGGCGGGTCTTGAATGTCTCCAAAGAAGGAGATTCCACAACCTCCCTGGGCAGCCTGTTCCAGTGTTCCGTCACCCTCACTGAGAAGAAGTTTCTTCTCAGGTTTAAGTGGAACCTCTTGTGCTCCAATTTGTACCCATTACCCCTTGTCCTTTCATTGTTTGCCACTGAGAAGAGCCTGGCTCCATCCTCGTGACACTCCCCCTTTATATATTTATATACACTAATAAGGTCACCCCTCAATCTCCTCTTCTCCAAACTGTAGAGACCCAGCTCCCTCAGTCTTTCCTCATAAGGGAGATGCTCCACTCCCTTAATCATCTTAGTTGCCCTGCGCTGGACTCTCTCCAGCAGGTCCCTGTCCTTTTTAAACTGAGGGGCCCAGAACTGGACACAATATTCCAGATGAGGTCTCACCAGGGCAGAGTAGAGGGGAAGGAGGACCTCTCTCGACCTACTAACCACCCCCCTTCTAATACAACCCAGGATGCCATTGGCCTTCTTGGCCACAAGGGCACAGTGTCGGCTCATGGTCACCCTGTCGTCCACCAGGACCCCCAGGTCCCTCTCCCCTACACTGCTCTCTAACAGGTCGTTCCCCAGCCTATACTGGAACCTGGGGTTGTTCCTGCCCAGATGCAGGACTCTACACTTTCCCTTGTTATATTTCATCAAGTTATTCCCCGCCCAGCTCTCCAGCCTGTCCAGGTCCCTCTGGATGGCAGCACAGCCTTCTGGCGTGTCGGCCACCCCTCCCAGCTTAGTGTCATCAGCAAACTTGCTGATAGTACACTCAATTCCCTCATCTAAATCGTTGATGAATATATTAAATAATACTGGTCCCAGTACCGACCCTTGAGGCACTCCACTAGATACAGGCCTCCAACTAGACTCCGCCCCATAGACTACAACTCTCTGGCTTCTCTCCTTCAGCCAGTTCACAGTCCACCTCACTACCCGATCATCCAGACCACACTTCCTCAATTTAGCCGCAAGGATGCTGTGGGAGACCGTGTCAAACGCTTTGCTAAGTCGAGGTAGACCACATCCACCGCTCTACCATCATCCATCCACCGTGTTATTTCCTCATAAAAGGCTACAAGATTGGTCAAGCACGACTTCCCCTTGGTGAAGCCATGTTGACTGCCCCTCATAACCCTCTTATCCTTGATATCCTTAAGATGGCACCAAGGATAAGGTGTTCCATCACTTTCCCAGGAATGGAGGTGAGGCTAACCGGTCTATAGTTACCCGGGTCCTCCTTCTTGCCCTTTTTGAATACAGGAGTGACATTTGCTTTCCCCCAGTCCTCAGGCACCTCTCCCGTTTCCCAAGACTTGGTAAAGATGATGGAGAGCGGTCTAGCAATGACCTCAGCCAGTTCCCTCAGCACCCGCGGGTGCATCCCATCTGGACCCATGGATTTATGGATATCCAGATTGCTCAACTGGTCTTTAACCCATTCCTCATCAACTAAGGCAGACCGCTCCGTTGACCTATCTTCATCCGGGGTCTCAGCGGTACAGGGCTCTTCAGGACTGCCTCCAGCAGAGTAGACAGAGACAAAGAAGTCATTCAGTAACTCTGCCATCTCTGTATCTTCTGTCACCAGGGCACCCGTCCCGTTCATCAGCGGGCCTACATTGCCTCTGGTGTTAGTTTTACCTGCCATGTATTTGAAAAAGCTCTTTCTGCTGTCCTTGACCCCTCTCGCCAGCTTTAATTCCAAGGAGGCCTTAGCCATCCTAGCAGCTTTCCTACATCCTCTAGCAGCAGCCTTATATTCTTCCCAAGTGGCCAGCCCTTCTTTCCATGACCTGTAAACTCTCCTCTTCCACTTGAGCATACCGAGCAGTTCCCTATTTAACCACGCAGGTCTCCTGACCCTCTTCCTCGACTTCCTACGTGTCGGGATGCTCCGATCTTGAGCTCGGAATATCTCTTATTCTTTCCCATTTTCATATTTTTCACTTCTATTTCCTTCCTATTAATCCTTATGTTTATAAGGGGTCCAAATTCCATGCTCAGAAAAGGCCTTTTAGAGCTGGTTGCCCAGGACCATGTCCAGATGGCTTCTGAATATGTCTAAAGATGGAGAGTCTTTCACTTTTCTGGGCAACCTGTTCCAGTGCTTCCTCACTGTCATGGCAAGAAAAGTGTTTCCTTATGTTTAAATGGATCCTCCTGTACTTCATTTTGTGCATATTGCTTCTTGTCCTGTCACTGGGCACCACTGAAAGGAGCCTGTCTCAAATCTTAACACACTCCAGTGAGCTATTTATATACATTGATAGGATCTTCCTTCAGCCTTCTTTTCTCTAGGCTGAGCAGTCCCAGCTTTCTCAGCCTTTCTTCAAATGTGAGATGTTCCAGCCTCTTCATTATTTTTGTGGCTTACTGTGAGACATGTCAGTGTCTCTTTTGTACTGTGGAGCCCAGAACTGAACACAGCATTCCAGGTGTGCCCTCGCCAGTGATGAACAGAGGACAACAGTCACCTTCCTTGAGCTGTTATCAATACTCCTAATGCATCCTGGGATATAATTAGCCTTCTTTGCTGTAACAGTGCATTGCTGGATCATGTTCAGCTTGGTGTCCACCCTGATTTCCACACCTTTACAAAACTTCTTTCCAGGTGGGTGTCCCCCAACACATACTGGTCCCTGGGGTTGTTCCTCCCCAGATGCAGGACTTTGCACTTTGTTGAACCGCATGAGGTTCCTGTCAGCCTACTTCTACAGCCTGTCCAGGTCCCTCTGGATGGCAACACAACCTTCTGGCACACCAGCCATTCCTTGCAGTTTTGTGTCATCTACCCTATCCAGCTTATTAACGAAGATGTTAAACAGGACTGCACCCAGTACTGACCCATGGGGTACACTGCTAGTTTCTGGTCTCCAGCTACATTTGTACCGGCTTCACAGCTTGTCTATGATGATCTTGTGGGGAGATAGCACCAAAAGATAGTGAAAGTCTAGGTAGGCAGTATCCACTGCTCTCACCTCAGGCCAGTAGTTCAATCATAGATAGCTATCAGGTTGGTCAAGTGTGATTTTCTGGTGGTGAATCTATTCTGAGTACTCCCAGTGACCTCTTTGCCCTTCATGTGCCTGGAAATGGCTTCCAGGGTTAGTTACTCCATCACCTTCCCAGGTACTGAGGCGGGGCTAACCAGCCTCTAGTTTTCTGGGAGCTTCCCTTAGAGGAAGTACTGAGATCTCACCTTGTATATGAAGTGTTTCCATTAGTTTTAAACAGTTACTTTCAAACAAATATTGCTAACCTTCAATTTGCTACTGGAAAAGCCTAAATACTAAACATCTCTTTCTGTGGCTTCGTAGAGTATTTTGATTCCTTAAGTATTGCTTAAAATACTGGTATCTCAAACATTAAAATAAATGGTATCTCAAACATTCAAAAAACTAAAGCAGTTATATGAAGTTGCTCTGATTCCTTTGCATGCCTCCCATCAATGGTCTCTGTATTCTTCAGTAAGTATAACAAAAGTATTTCCTAAAAAAAAAAAAACATTGCTATTCGTTAGTAACCATTAGTTATTCAAATAGCTAAAACCAGTTGATTTTATTAGTGATCTTTCCTTCCTCCTGTTTGAGGCCATGGCTTCTGGCCAAGATCCCACCAATCCTCCCTCAGCTCTCTCCTTTTCTCATCCCTTTCATGTGCCAGGGCCTCCCTTGGTTCTGGACCATGCAGAAATATTACACGCTCTGCTCAGTGCTGCCACCTACTGTGCAAGTGCTTTACTCAAAATGCTAGGCAGGACTGGAATCACTGGGAAGCTAGTGATTAGGAGAAAAATTTATGTCTGTAGTCCAAGGCAGAGAAACTTTCAGGGCAGTCAGAGCTGGTAAACAGCATTCTTTAGAAGGTTCTGACTTAGAGGGCTCTTACAGAGATTAAATTGTATTCCTAGCCCCTATTCCCTGAAATCATGGCATGCAGATGCTGTTTCTAAGTTGAAGGCCTGAAATACCATGACTCATTTGTAAGTTTCTCTGCCTTCCCCTAAGTTACACAGCAAGGCAGCTATTTAATGTAGGGCGCTCTAGCGCAGTATCTTCTATTCACCGCTTCCTTTATTAACTCCCACTACCACTGACAGTGTTCCCTTGTATGTCCTAAGCAGCACATAGTTTAACACTCTTCTGCCAGGCAGGAAGAAACTGGTTTGTGTCTGTCCAAAGATGAGGATACAAGGGGAGGATGAGATAGCACTCTGGAACTGGATCTGGTTTTGCCAGTTGTTCAACTGACAAGAGTTTATGGCAGGACCTGTGTCTCTCAAGGTACCCCAACAACCATGGACCAGCACAAAGTTACTATTTCCTCTGCACCAGCCTGTACTGTAAAAAACTAGATATGAGTCTATGGTTGTTTTCATCACCCTTCAAGATCTGAAACTCTGAGTGATTGGTTGCCTTATCAATGCCAAAAGCAAACTCTGGTCAAGCAGCCGTCTTCTTCCAGTGCTCTGCTTCTGTCACCTACTCCATGTAGCTTTGCACTTTCTCTGCTCTGTAGGCCTTTGTGTAGACCAAGTAGGCACCATACAGCTGCAGCCATTTCTCCCAAGAACAACCTGATGTTGCTAGAAAATAATACCACCTTGTTGTGGTAGCGACTTTGAGATGTTAATCATTTTCAGGTTTGGCCCCTTTAAAGAGTAGGAGAATGGCAGCCATTCTGAATAGCAACATTCATAAATGGCAGCCTATTACCCTGTTTCTTTAGGTTAGTTAGCAGCATTAGAGCACTGCACAGTTTATAAACCTGCCCAGTATGTGAAGGCTAGGATGGAAAGAAGCTAATTTCGTGGGCACTGTCCCCTCTGAAAAGCATCTCTTCTGAAGAGTATATAATACTGCAGAGCTGCTTCGTCTCTGTGAAAGGAAACCTTTAATACTGCAGGAGTAGGAGGTCTGATAAGCCAGACAAGTAGGTAATTTGGAAAACAAATCCTTTCATTAAGCATAGCAAGTGCATACAATGTAAAGGGGCAAGGTATGTTTTTACTATTCTGGTCTATTGGGTACAGGATAGATAGGTAATTAATATGGTACTTAGTGACCCTTCAGATTCACATTAGCTCATTTGTTTGGGGATCTTAATTTCTACTGGAAAGAATTGGACAGGACTTTCCCTTACAAAGTAGCCTAGAAATATCACTCTGTGTCATGGTAATTAGCATGAAAATCACATCTTCAGAAATCTGGAGTGGAAATAGGTAGATGACTCCCGCATACCTAATTTTCACCGCATATTTCAGTGAGCAGAAGTAAATAGGTTTGGTAAATGTTACGATAGCATATAGTGGATAAGTGGTGTAATGGCAAAATTTTCTGTTTTCTGGCTATAGGCAAAAGTTTCTTGGTTTCCCTCAGTGTTGATCAGGAAATCCGTTTTATCTGACAGAGAATCCGTGTGCCTTGGCAGTTCTGCAGTTTAAACTTGACTGCTCACCCAGAAATCCCTATTGTAAACGTCAGGTAGACTTGGCTGCTTCTACATGCACCCCACTGTCCCTTAATTGATTAATATTGCTTCATTTATAAAGTTCTACAAGTAGAAGTGACATTTGTATGGTTGCATTTGGATGGTGTTTGAAATATCGCTGAGTACAGAATGGCTGTCACATTTAACAGCACAGTAACAGCACTACCCATATTTTATATGCAATTGTGCAAAGTGATTTGAGCATTTCTGAACTTGACAGCCAAAAATTTCTTCTTCAATCTACGTTAAAATTAATTATTTAGAAAAAGAAGGTTCATGAGTTTTCACTTTTGACTTTACATTTAACAGGAAAAAATTGGACCTGGCATAAATAGACAAGCTCTACTGCTTCACAGGAGTCATTCCCTGGATTTACACAGGTGCAGCACTGCAACATTATCTACTTGTAAATGTATACTTATGCATATTGCTTTAATAATTTTTAAGAAAAACAAGCACACAATTTCAGTGAGGGTTATCTTTTCCTGTTTCTTAAGATTTTGCATTTTAGTATGATTTGTAATTATTTTAATAAAGTGTTTCTTAATATTCCATATTAATATTCCAAATAAAGAAACATGCTTCTTTATTTGGCATTTTTAAAGAAAAATTTAAGAACAATGAATAAAGTCCTGTTTAACATCCATATTTGAGTTTTAGGGTCATATTCCCTTCACTATTGGATTCTTAGACCCAGACAGAGCTTCCAAAGGAGGATGCAGCTTCTGAACTCAGCACTTAGATAAGTGCAGTTACAGGGCTGTCATATCAATGAGATAATGAAGACAGGTTAAGGTAGCTCACATGGCTGGGAAGCATTGGTGGAGTAATCCATCAAGGCAAAATCCAGCTGCTGACGCATGTAATTTGCTCTCATAAATACCTTATCAAAATGAATATCGTCCTGTGTTATTTCCCACTGCTGTAAAAGGACGACATAAGGTTATAGCAAAGATGAGACAAATGGTGATGAAAAAGGAGGAAGCGTCAAATTTAAGAAATAAACAATGAGAATTTGCCAAAGGTAGTATTAAGCGAATGACCTTACTTAACAAAAACAGGAGAGGGATGCTTACTTCTTTACCAGCATCTGACTGAATTTAAATAAACATCTTAATATAAGTATAAAATCATAGAATAGTTAGGGTTGCAAAGGACCTTAAAATCATCTAGTTCCACCCCCCCTGCCATGGGCAGGAACACCTCAGACCAAACTACGTCACCGAAGGCTCTGTCCAACCTGGCCTTGAACCCCATCAGGGATGGAGCATTCACAACTTTCTTGGGCAGCCCATTCCAGTGCCTCACCAGCCTCACAGTGAAGAACTTCTTCCTTACCTGTTCTTCCCCTGTTTAAGTCTGAACCTGTTACACGTTGTCCTATCACTACAGTCCCTAATGAAGAGTCCCTCCCCAGCATCCTTGTAGGCCCCCTTCAGATACTGGAAGGTTGCTATGAGGTCTCCACACAGCCTTCTTTTCTCCAGGCTGAACAGCCCCAACTTTCTCAGCCTGTCCTCATATGGGAGGTGCTCCAGTCCCCTGGTCATCGTTATGGCCCTCCTCTTGAATTGATCCAACAGTTCCATGTCCTTTTTATGTTGAGGACACCAGAACTGTCCACAATACTCCAAGTGGTGTCTCACAAGAGCAGAGTAGAAGGGCAAGATCACCTCCTTCAACTGGCCTGTCATGCTCCTTTTGATGCAGCCCAGGATACGGTTGGCTTTCTGGGCTGCGAGCTCACACTGGCAGCTCATGTTCATTTTCTCATCAACCACCACTCCCAGGTCCTTCTCCGCAGGGCTGCTGTGAATCTCTTCTCTGCCCAACCTGTAGCTGTGTCTAGTAGTGCTCCGACCCAGGTATAGGACCTTGCACTTGGCATGGTTAAACATCGTAAGGTTGGCCTTGGCCCACTTCACAAGCGTGTCAAGGTCCTTCTGAATGGCATTCCTTCCATCCAGCATATCAACTGAACCACACAGCTTGGTGTCATCAGTAAACTTGCTGAGGGTATGAACAATCATAAACAATAGTAGTGCTTTAATAGTGTAGTATTAATTACGGAACTGCCTTGTCACTGAGTGCTCTAAATGGATCATCATGAATTGCTGATTTGTTATTTTCTTTGATGTGCATTGATGGCACATTCTCCATTGCCTTCCTGGGCTAAATACATATGAAAAATAAAATTAAT